GACTACAACTGGTCCAGAATGCAGCAGCCCGATTTTTAACCAGTGCAGTGAGGCCAAAACTGGTGTAATGTGCTCTCTTTTGCCTGTACTGGTTAAAAATCGGGCTGCTGCATTCTGGACCAGTTGTAGTCGTGCAATGGAGGTCTGACTGATATCAAACAGGAGTGAATTGCAGTAATCAAGCCTAGATGTAATGAATGCATGTATTACTGTCTCCATGTTATTTTTGGACAATATGGGCTTCAGTTTAGACAGCCGCCTCAGTTGGAAGAAGCATGATTTAACAATCATGTTTACATGATTGTTAAGCTTCAGGGAAGGGTCCATTATCACTCCCAGATTAGTGACTCTTTGTTTTTCTGACAGGGTTAGAGCGGAAAGGTCGATGCAGTGGTTTGTGATCGTGTCGTTGGGAGGGAACAACATGACTTCAGACTTCTTTTCATTGAAACTCAAGAAATTTAAAGCCATCCAGTCCCTGATGTCAGCCAGGCAGTTGAGCAGCGGTTGAATAGAGCATGTACCATTGTGTCTTACGGGGAAGTAAATTTGACAATCATCGGCATAGAAGTGGAAGGGCATGTTGTGTTTCCGGAAAATAGCACCAAGTGGCAGCAGGTATAAAGAGAATAGGAGGGGATCCAGTATGAACCCCTGTGGAACCCCCCATTTAAGCTCTGCCTCTGCGGAACTAAAATCCTTGATGGAGACTCAAAAGGATCTGTCAATGAGGTAAGATCTGAACCAATTGAGGGCTGATCCTGTGACGCCCACCCACTGCTCCAACCTAGCAATGAGGATCTCATGGTCGATGGTGTCAAAGACGGCTGTGAGGTCCAACAGGACAAGCAGCACAGAATCACCGGTATCTGTGAATCTGAAGATGTCGTTAAAGACCTTCAGCAGGGCAGTTTCAGTGCTGTGGAGAGGTTTAAAGCCAGATTGGAATAGCTCTAAGATGGCGTGATCCTCCAGGAAGCACTTCAACTGGGACTCGACTGTTTTCTCCAGTAGTTTAGAAACAAATGGGAGTTTGGAGACAGGCCGGTAGTTTGAAACGACTGAGGGGTCAAGGTTTGTTTTTTTCAGGAGAGGCTGGACAGCAGCATGTTTAAAGGATTTTGGCACCACGCCAGTGGATAAACTACTGTTTACAATATCAAGAATGGATGGACCTAGAGTTGGAAACACCTCCTTTAGTAGTCGAGGGGGGACCACATCAAAGGGGGAGCCAGAGGGTTTCAAGCTGCACATGACCTGCTCTAGAGAAAATAGAGTGATGGGTTCAAAATGGTCAAATAGAGCTACAGATTGAGGTGGGATGGATGGGTCATGAGTTGGAGGGGAAATGAAAGCCCTGGTGGTCACAATTTTTTTCAAAAAGAAATGTAAGAAGTTGTCGCACAGCTCAGTCGAGGCTTCCAGAGGTGATGGTTCAGTGAGGTGGAGAACAGAGTTTAGGGTGGAGAAGAGGACACGTGGGTTGTGAGAGTTTGAGGTAATTATATCAGAGAAGTATTTAGATTTAGCAGCTTTTACTGTTTTCTGATAACGGCGCCAACTCTTTTTAAGTTTCTGGAAAGAGACCTGCAGCCTGTCTTTCCTCCACTTTTGCTCCGCCCTCCTACATTGCTGCCTAACGGCCTTGGTGACGTCACTCAGCCAAGGTTCTGCTTTGATGTTTGATTTTTTGGTTTTAACAGGTGCAACATGATCCATAGTCTTTAAGCAGACAGAGTTGAACTGGGATGTCAGCTCCTCAGTGGTGGTGAGAAACACTGGGGCCTGAATGATCATTTCAGAGTTATAAACATCTGTGAAACGTGCAGCAGTGAAGTGGTTAATGGTCTGAGTGCTACATGCAGGAATGCACGGCTTAGGAGTTAGATGGGGGAGGGGGAGCTCAAACTGGACTGGCATGTGGTCTGAAAAAACATTATCACCAATAACAAGATTATTAACAGTCATATCACGAGTTAAAACAAGGTCCAGTGTATGTCCACGCTCTTGGGTGGGACCGTTTACATGCTGAGTTAAATTAAATGAATCCAATAGATCTAAAAAGTCCTTAACCAAGGGCTTCTCAGGACAGCACACGTGCAAATTAAAGTCCCCAATAATGAAAACATGCTCATATTTTGGTGTGATTTCAGCCAAGAAGTCAGAAAACTCATTTATGAAATCCTTAGATCGAGGTGGGCGGTACGAGTGCAAATAAAGTCTGAGGTGAATGTCCGAGTTCAAAGACGCTCAGCTCAAAGACGCTCAGCTCAAAGCTGGCGCGGGAAACTGGAATGGGCAGTTGTTTACAGTCAAAAGTTGATTTGAATATTGTTAATAATCCACCACTGCGCCGGCCTGATGGCCGTGGGGCGTTAAAATACAGACAGTGTGGTGGCAGTAATTCCGTCAAGGCGCTGGACACACCCGGAGACATCCAAGTCTCTGTGATGCACAGAAAGTCCAAATCGTGCTCTTGAAAGTAATCCCTGAGGACAAAAGTTTTGTTTGGTAACAGATCTAACGTTGACCAAACACATCCGGATACTGTCCAAAGTGGAGCCAGCAGCGGTGGAGTTTGCACGCGCTAATGGCCGCAGGTTTTCAATAACAGCCCCTCCAGGTCGGTCCGAGCTGCGCACCGGCTGATAACTCCTGCTGGTTACCTGGTCCGGGCACACAGGAAGCTGGCGATGGAAACCATGACCGCTAGCTGGAGAGGAAGATGCAACGCGCAGAGCTTTCAGCTTCACCAGCTGACCAGCACGTTTTCCCCGGCGTCTGAAGCGAGATCTCCGGGCAGGGAGGTGAGGAGCCCAACGGAGGTAAGCTGGCACGTCAGCCAGCAGGGGGGGAGGGGGGGGTCCAGAGGTACGCTGATAATGGTCCAAATAAGCGACTTCAGTGACAGAAAAATGAAGATTCAAAAGTTGTTGACTGTCATACACCAGCAGAGAGTTGATGTCACAGATGTGAAATGCAAAAAACAAAAATAATCCGAACACCATCAGCAGAGGTGGATTACAAGCCATGTACACGGGCGCCATCTTACCGGAAGTTGATGTGATCCTCATGGAGGAGGTAGAAAATAGAACCTTGACGTCCTTTTCAGGGACACCACCAAGTCATTGGTTCAGGTATGTTGATTAAATCTCGGGAAGTCCAACATTTTACTGACCACATCAACTCTGTGGATAAATACATCAAGTTCACACGAGAAGATGTAAAAAATGGCAAGTTGGCTTTCTTGGACTGTGAGGTCTCAGTTTCTGATAGAGGGCATTTGTAAACCCACCCACACAGACCAGTATTTGCAGTTTGACTCCCATCACCCTTTGGAGCACAAGTTAGGAGTCATCAGGACTCTGTACCACAGAGCAGACAGCATCCCCACTAGCTCAGGAGCCAGGCAGAAGGAGAAATCCCACACAAGACAGGCTCTAGAGCAATGTGGATATCCTAACTGGGCCTTCCTGAAAGCAGAGAAGAAACCCAAACAGGACTCCAGTCAGCCAACAGGTGAAAAGGAGGAACCCAGACCCAGACCAGTGGTCATTCCGTATGTTGAGGGAGTATCAGAGAAACTGAGACGTTTATTTTCTAAACATAACGTCCCAGTGGCTTTTAAACCCCAAAATACATTACGGCAAAGACTGGTTCATCCCAAAGATCCAGTCCCCCGGCACAAACAGAGTAATGTTGTGTATGCTGTTTAGTGTCAGGAGGGTGATCAGTCTTACATCGGGGAAACTAAACAGCCACTGGCCAAAAGGATGGCCCAGCACAGAAGATCAACATCATCAGGCCAGGACTCTGAGGTCTACACTCATCTCCAGGCCATCGGTCACTCTTTCAAGGATGAAGATGTTCACATCCTTCATAGAGAGGAACGATGATTTTAGAGAGGAGTAAAAGAGGCCATCTTTGTGAAAAGAAACCGTCCATCATTAAACAGGGGTGGAGGCCTCCAGGTTCAACTGTCCTCCTCTTACAATGCTGTGATTGCTAGTATCACTCAGCCCTCTGTGAACAGTAAACAGCCATCAGGTGCTAATGATCCATTGTTAGGCTGATGGTCCTTCTTGAGCATGTGATCAGCTGGTTTTGGTTGTCAGCAGCAAACTGGTTGATCCACTCTGAGAAGGTGCTATTTAAGAGACTGAGCTGAATACAGCACCTCAGACTGAGGAAGTCTCTCGGATGAGAGACGAAACGTTTCTACATTTTTGTTTGTTTGTTTTTTTGTTTTGTTTTTTGAATGTCCAGAGGACCAGATTTTAAGTTTAGTAGATTTTTCTACCTGGATTATTGAGCATGCATCAGGATGCTTCTGTTGAAGCATTCACTCTAATTAAAAGGCCCAGCAGTCCAGAGCACCTGCTGCCTTTCAGGTCAGAGTTTGAAACTTGAGATAAGATTTTTTTTATGTTGAGAAATGACAAGAGTTCCAACAGTTTAAAAAAACTGAACAGCTCCTGCTGCCTCAGGAAAGCCACAAACATTTTAAAATAATCCTCGCACCCAGGTGTGTTTTGTTTTTGTTTTTATTTGATTTCTCTTATTTACTTTTCATTTTATATGTTTTTATATGATTGTCTATTGTTGTCTGTCTAAAACAGGTCTCTCTTGTAAATGAGTCCTCGAGGCTCAATTAGACTACTCTGTAGAAATAAAGGTTAATGAAAGGTCACATCGTGTTTCAACCACTGCCATTAGGCAGGAGGTGTAGGACCATTAAAACAAGGAAAAATAGACTGAAAAACAACTTTTTTCCCCACAGCCATCAGTGCTTTCAATGCCACAGAGCACCAACAGTGCAGTGTATGTGCAATTACTCCTTAATGTGTAAGTGTGCTGTGCCTTGAATTGGATTGACACCAAGAAATGCAGCACTTGTAGATGAACATTCAATTATTTTTTAAGAGTTTCACTAAAATCTGACCACTAGATCTAAGAATACACACAGATGTGGTCAAATACCTTAACGCCTGGTCACCTCCCAGCGGCGGACGATAATAACAAATCAACTCAAGAGTTCAAATTGAACCATCACATTAAATTTTAAATGGATGGTTAAAAAATGTATGATTGACAAAGTTGGACTATTACCATAACTTTGCTAAGGTTTCTTATGTGTTATGTTAAAAACTATGTTTTTCTGTCACTAATTAATCGTTTATTGGGGTGGCTGTGGCTGAGAGGTTAGAGCAGTCGTCCTCCAATGCAAGAGTTGGGGGTTAGAATCCACCAGCAGTCACATGCTGAAGTGTCCCTGGGCAAGACACTGAACCCCTCATTGCTTCTGATGTGTGTCCCATCAGTGTATGAATGTGATAAAGCTCTGATTAGTCTCTTTAGAATGATTTGTTCAATTATCTTTGTAGAGATCTAAAGAGTGCTGTATGAATGGGTCAATGAGGCACAGATTGTTGTAAAGAGCTTTGAGTATCTTGAAATAAGATAGAAAGGCGCTGTATAAGTACAGTCCATTTACCATTTAATGTCTTTAATGGGAAAATAATGGAATGACTGACCATTTTCCAGTTTGCTGTTGTTTTAACATGAAGTATAAAGTTAGATTTGTAAGGCATATATAAAAAAATGTAATGTTAACATTGTTAACTTTTTCTGCGTGTAACCACCTGATCTTGTTTCCTGTCTCTTCTGCTGGTTCTGATCACTATCCAGCTGTGCGGGCTTTCTGAAAACCTGGTTGCCTTTTATGATGCTTGCGGGCATCATCCTTACAGTTGCCCTGGCCGTCTACCTCCGATGACTCAGTGAACCCTGACTTCAGAAAGATGCAGCACGGAGGTTTTCAACAAGAAGAGGCTTCAAACCAAAGTCACCAAGGACATAAAAGACGGGATTATTGGAGCAGAATGTGGTTTGTCACTGGACTTCCTACAGTGTCCAAGCTGCAGTCCTCAGTGATGGACATTCATTTAAATCCAGCTCATATAAATAATCATATTTAGACACACAGTTGGTTGCAAAACTAATTCTTCCTGGTATTCTTTCTATTTAGTTGCTTTAAAACATGAAATTTAAATAGTCGTGTAATTTGTTCATAATTAATTATTCTAAACACATACTCATGAATAATAAAAGGTAAATGTTTTAAATTTTTGCATCATCAGGTCTCCTCAGGTCTGTCTTCCTTCAGGTTGGATGGATGCTGCTTGTGCCCAACAATCTGAATCTGACCAGGTATTCTCAGTTGAATAGAGGTCTGGACCTTGACTGGACCATTCCAGTGTTGCATCAGTTTCACCAGGTGTAAATGGTTTAACAGTTTTAGATCATTTGACTCTTAAGCCCCCAGTATACTGCCGCGCACGTCCATACGCAGAGGTACGCACGTACGTACGCGGAGGTACGAGCGTACCCCCCAGGGCATGTCCGCGCATAGCTCAATTTTTACGATCGCGTACACGGTGTCGCACAATAAACTGCCCGGCGATGGACTGTTTTGTATGCGACACCAATATATTAAATTCCCCTTCTTCATCCTTGATCTGGCCTTTTCTTTTGTTTTTTTGCCAAGAGGCAGTGATCTCTTCCTCCTCCGTTGATGCCATGACTGAAATGATGAGAAATGGAGGAATTTGTCACGAGCGAATTAAACTCGGGTCCAGCGTGGCTGCGGGAGGTCTGGAGATTTCCTGGTGGGCTGGTCTGATGTGTGGGCTGCAGAGCCAGCGCTCCCTGTTTTTTTTGTTTTTTTTAGATCTTTTTATTAACAACATATAAACACAGAACACCGCTGTGACTGCTAGCGCTCGTTTTTTTCCTCTTCCCGACCTGTCAATCGAGCCAGTAGGCGTGTCATCAAATGACCAGTCGGCGACCTCAATTTGTCCCGAAGGTAAACGCCCCTTGTCTGTGAAGCTGCTCTGCAGCTGCTCGGGGTGTACGCTGGAGTATCATATCTGAACCCTCTGCGTACAGTGCACGTGTACGTCCGTTCACACGTACGTACGCGGGAGTATACTGGGGGCTTTAGATTGCCCCCAGGCCGAGCTTTGTTAATGTTTTTTTTTCATTTAGCCTTTATTTATCCAGGTTAGTCTCATTGAGCCACGAGAACTCATTTTCAAGAGAGACCTGTTTAGGGTGTGGCTTCAGAATGTAATGATTGGGGCTTTAAAGCAAAGCAGGTGAATTGTCATTAATTTAATTGCAAAGCCAACTAAATTCCTGGTCGGATGGCAACAAAATGAAAAGAATACCAAGAAACTTCTATAAAAGTATGTTTGTGTCACGATGGTGGGAATCCCCCATAATTCAGTGCTTCCAGGGAGCCATTTTGTAAACTCTGTGGAACAAATGTACCTCATCATTCAGCCTTGCTTAAAAATTCTTCTATTTCACACTTTATCTGATTAACACTTGAACACACCAGAGCAGAGTGTTGTTTTGACTGATTCTGGAATTATTATTTTTATCTTTTGTAAATCTATTGAACATTTTCAATCTTTTATAGTCTGAGATAAGTTGTACATCATAGTACTGTCAATTACAGGGTTAACAGCATAAGGATTGTAGCTATCTCAGTGAATGATCTACAGTTTTCTGTGGAAACTCAAGAGTCCTAGAAAATTCCTGAGATGGTCTTACTTGACCCCTTCTTTTTTAGGCAAACTAGGAGTCAGTGCCAAAAGATCCTCGGTCTCAGATCCTTTCTTTGTTATGCATTTTTTCATTTTACTTTTATGGTTGTGATGTCTTTAAAAATCTTAAGTCCCCATAACGGCTCGCACCCCTAATCCGTTGCCATGGCTTCCACAAGCAGACTCAAATCCTATAATTGTTTGTAAAGTGGGGTGGGGGTGGGGGGAGTTGAGCCCTCTCTTTGTGTGCAGGGCTTCTAGGAGCAGCAGGTAGTGGGGATCCTCAGGTCTTTCCGATCTTCACCATCCTTCGTTCAGTATCGCCCATCGGCTGAGCAGCATCTCTCATGCTGTTCCCACCTCTGCAGATCAGAGACCAAGGTTACAGGGAAATGTCACCACCACTTTTCACAACTTTAAATACACACCAGCCAACATCCTGTAGCACTCCAGAGTTGACAGTGTGTATAATTCATATTTTTCTTGGCTACACTTCCTTTTGAAAGCAAATCTAGTTTGCATGTCTCTTGCCTGTAAATATTTCTCCATATGTTATATTTTACATCAGGTGCTCCTTATGAAACATTCAAACCAATGTTCTCTCTAAATTTTCATGTGTCTGGGCAAACAAACAAGCTCCCTGAGCACACTGAGGAGCACTGTGAGCAACATCAGATGTGCACGCTGTGGTCACACACCAGTATCACACCTGTTCAAAACCTGGGATCATAGCAAGTTACATGGCTTATTAAAAGAATCAAATTACAGCAGCAATTTCCATTAGTTTACTTTTAATATAAGCGATTTGGCCCACTTAAAATGAAAAAGACAATAATCTTGTTCATGAGATGAGTATTATGTTAAATGTGAGAATCCTGCTTTGGTCTGGGTAAGGGTCCTGCTCTTGAAGACGTTTAGTAACATGGTGGCCATTGGTGTCAGAAGCATATTTGTAATGTAGGCGGGGACACACTGGTGGCGGGTGGGGTCTGGGGGTTCTCCCCCAGAAAATTTTGAATAAAGTAGATGCCATTTCTTACATTCTGGTGTATTTTAACAGGTTGTTAAACATCTAGTTTTACCTAGACAAGTAACACTTGATTCAATAACTATTTTAGAGTTAATGTCACAAAAAGACCTGCCTGACCAACAGCTCTCCATGTGCTTCGCTTCTCTCACGCATCCTAGTCACAGTCGAAGAAACACGGTGTAGCCTAAGTTACGTTTTAGGGGGGAAAATCACTAGCCAATATGAAACAATAATAATAATAATAATCACTCCTTCTTACTAATGGCCTCACATAAAGCAATGTGATCATCATCCGTTGTGTTTATTAGTAGATTAAAATACCTAATTAAAACCAGTAGTGGGCTAGGTCTACTGTAACTTTACCCAGTTGTAGGGTCACGAGACAAACGTAGCATTAACACAGTATGAACAACATTCAGGAATTCAGGAGCATTATCAAATATTTTATGTGAATGGTAAGATCGCTTTGCCCACGAGGAAATGTAGCCCAGGGTGAGCTAACCTCGGACAAACTAACAAACATGACTGTAATGGTGGAGGTAGTGAAGCTCATGGCATTATCTGAGACATTTAGTGAGGCATTTCTGTCGTATCGACCAACATTAAGGCAAAGAAGACATGAAAAAAAATCTAAGCCGCTAATAACTTCAAATAGTTACTGCAGTGGATGTTTTCATGCTGCAGATCAGCACAGGGCAAGAACTCACAGTGAAATTCAGTCTATAAGAATACATTTTACATTACACAACCTATTAAACTTCTTTCAGCTTTTCCCTCTTCAGGGGTCTCCACAGTGAGCCATTCTCCTCCATCTCACTCTGTCCTCTGTATCTGTCCTCGCTCCATCTACCTCTGTGTCCTCTCTAACTGCATCCATATATCTCCTCTTTGGCCTTCCTCTATGTCTTCTTCCTGACAGCTGCATTTCTAACATCCTTCTACCAATATACCCACGGTCCCTCCTCTGGACATGTCCAAACCATCTCAGTGTGTCCTCTCTAACTTTATCTCCCAGTTGTTCAACCTGGGCTGTACCTCTGATGATCTCATTCCTAATCTTATCCATCCTTGTATCTCCTAAGGAGAACCTCAACATCTTCATTTCTGCCACTTCCCGTTCTTTCTCCTGTCTTTTAGTCAATGCCACTGTCTCTAGACCAGACAACATAGCTGGTCTCATCACTGTCTTGTAAACTTTTCCTTTGACCATCCAGATAGACACCGAGCACTACTATTTGCTAACACTTAGTATGATTAAAACAGCGCAAGTCGTGGGATTAGCTTACTTACTGCCGTTGTTTGATGTCGTATGACTAAACTTCTGTGAAAAATCAACGCCAAATATTCCTGGGTATGCAATGAAATATGCAGTAATAAAGCTTAGAAAAGCACAAGAAATCAAGGATTTTACTTGTAGCTACTTAGCTTCTTTGCACATCAGCACCAAAATTCCAGAAGATGCTGATTGGCTGGAATGAAAGTTTGCTTTTGATTTCATTGGTTTAATTTTTAACCTCTTTGTAAACTTTCGTTGTTGCTACACAGATCACGTGACATGGGTATGTTTAAACCCGAGGGACTGGGTGTTTCCTTCCTCTGCACGCATTTTTCATGTGCTGCATACAGATTGTAGAGACCGCTGCGCTCGGGCTGACAGTTAATTATAAAGCGGGAGATAACCATATGATTTGCTTGGGCATTTGCCCTGTTGCCCATATGGTTAATCCCGCCTTGTGGCCAGTTCGCAACTGCGCAGCATAGATTTTCTTGTGCGCAGAGAATGTGCGAGCAGTGCACAATTGCGTAGGCACGCAGCTTAGAGGGAACATCAATTCAAAGTCTAGCAGTCCTTGAAGGAATGCATACTGCCTGGTACCTTTCATCCATGAGCTTTAGACAAAGCTCATCTTATGCTTCAAAATGGCACAGATGCAGCCATTTTAGTCATAACGGCAGCATGATAAACATTATAAATAACGTTAAATGCAATCTCTTGCGATATTGATCGCATGTTCTGTTAGCGCTTGGAGTCTGTGTTGTGAGCCACCACACCAGATTGTAGCTCAGTATCTGCAAAACTGAGTCATGTTTTGTGTTTGCTACGGTTAATTAGCTGTAGCGGCCATTTTAAATTGAGTTGATTCTAAAAGTTAATTAATCATAGATCTACAGGTCCTTCTCAAAAAATTAGCATATTGTGATAAAGGTCATTATTTTGCATAATGTATTAATAAAAATGAAACTTTCATATATTTCAGATTCATTGCACACCAACTGAAATATTTCAGGTCTTTAATTGTTTTAATACTGATGATTATGGCATACAGCTCATGAA